GAGAGAGGAGAGAGAGAGAGAGAGAGAGAGAGAGAGAGAGAGAGAGAGAGAGAGAGAGAGAGAGAGAGAGAGAGAGAGAGAGAGAGAGAGAGAGGGAGAGAGAGGGAGAGACAGAGTGGCCTGGGGAGAGAGAGAGTTTCATTGAAATCAAACAATACTGATATACATTGAAAACGGTTGTAAATAGTCAACAGTATCAATTCTTTTCTTTATTTGTTATTAATATCTTTCCACCACTATTATCATATTTATATCTTATAAATCAGATATATGACCGTTCGTAGAGTGGTTTCGTCACAAAAAAATTGATTTGAGTCTCCCCGTATGAACCATCACAAGCTTGCAACGCAGAAGATATCAGGCCTGTGTATGATATTATGTACAATGCAGATATATATCTTACAGTTACGGCCAGGGCTCCATCGTTGCGCTATTAATAGACCCTGTCATGAACCAACAGGTTATTAAAGTTTCGCAGCTACGATTAGGTGTCAGACGGTGGTCGTTCGAAGGTGGGGGTGTATTGTTTTTTTCTTCCCAGGGGTGAGCAGTCTGACCCTCACAGTCCGACTCCTTTAGCCTCTACCAGGCGTCGGGAGGCGGCTGAAAAGAGTAGAAATCGTAGAGAAACTGTTCTCTCCAGCCGACCAAACTCCCTTGGCATCTCTCTATTTGGCCGATTTCCTCTCTTTTCGGCCTCCTCCCTAAGCCTGGTAGAGGCTATGGCTCTACCAGGCTTTATAAGTGATAACAGTATACATGTATGGATTAATATGCTGACGGTCGAATAAACTGAAGTGCTGCTACATTGTTGCTGGTGCAATCTACATCTATCTGAGTGTATATATGTAACGTTACATTGTTATTGGTTTAATCAAGGAGGTTCAATTTGTTTGTCTTTGTGGGTTAATGTAGCCAACATCAAATTGCTGATTATTCTGGTACACTGTAGAACTAGGCTGTAGAATTTGGTCCATCGCACACCGGGCATGCCCCTACTCTTTTTTGAAAGATGTGGTGGGTTCTTTAACGTGCGTGGGGTGCATGTGGCTCTCCCCAAACACGGGACCCCCATTTAACGTCCTATCCGAGGGACGTCCTGAACAGAAGCTAGGTTTCTAATGCTATATTAGCCGTGGCGACTTGTGAGCCTTTTATAGCCAGTATACACATACTAAAAGGCTTAAGTCTCCATGGCTAGCTATAGCGCTATATGTGATTATACCTGTACTGAAATGTGTGTTGTTACTGCTAACCATTCAAACGCAGGGATCGAAATAACGTCTTTTCTGCATACCTGCACTGAGGCAGGTAACATTAACAACTAGAGGTCGGAGATCCCATGTCTTCGTCACAGGGACATTGTTCTAGATAAATGAACAAGACTTAGTGCTGTTTTCGTTTGTTGTTACACCATGTTCTTTTATTAAATTTGTGTCCTAACCTTTGTATTTCCACCGTTAGTAATATGCTCCAAATCTATGCATCTTAATTTTCCGGCCCTTACGTTCATGTATTTTATGGCGCTTTTGCAGTAAATTTAAGGTCTCCAGTAGACGTCATCCATAAAAATTACTTGGTCTGGCCTTACAATTTAGGGAATGACCTGCCTGAGGCATGTCCAACTTTAGCTTTCCCTCCCCCTACAGTATTTGTAGGACAGCCCCTCCATTGTAAGCAATTGATCACAGATGGAGAGACCAACTGTCTCCCATCTGAATCAATGCAAAAGTTGGTGGGGGTAAATCATTCTCAATCTAACACAAAAAGTCCAATGCAGCGACATTGGGACCCCCCACGAGGTCCGTTTTTGAACTTGACCTTGGCCTCTACAATGGTGGCTTGCCTACCAAAAATCATTAACATCTATTTAAGTATACTTGAGTTATTTTGCTCACAAGCCACAAACACAAAAAATCCACTGCAGTGACGTACGGACCCCCAAGGAGCTCAAACTTGCACTTGACTTTCCCCTCAACAACAGTAATCTGCCTGCCAAAAATCATGGACGTGGAATAATGCATTCAAGAGTTATTCCGCTAAATCCGCAGTCACCCACAATCTGGCGAGACAATTTCATAGTCCTTCTGACGAAGACAATAACCTGCACCAGACAAATTCTATATGCACCACTCAGGCTTTGGAAATTATGGATTGTACTAAAAACTGTGAAGAAACCACTGCGAGTGTGAGTGCCATTTTTTTCTTTTATATCTGTGGTAACAGTCAATGCAGGGATATGAAACTCCACATACGTACACCTACATACATGTGCTACTAGTAGTATGTATTACGGTGGCCCCTAAGTATACTTAATATTTTTATGCCACTTTTATTTTCTATGGGTTACCTTTATTTTCTATGGGTACTTTTATTTTCTATGGGTACTTTTATTTTCTATGGGTCACTTTTATTTTCTATGGGTTACTTTTATTTTCTATGGGTCACTTTTATTTTCAATGGGTTACTTTTATTTTCTATGGGCACTTTTATTTTCTATGGGTACTTTCATTTTCCATGGGCACTTTTATTTTCTATGGGTTACTTCCATTTTCTATGGGTACTTCTATTTTCTATGGACACTTTAATTTTCTATGGGTACTTGTTTTTTTCTGTGTGTACTTCGCGAAGTTCTTTAGTGGCTGACGAAACGACATTCATTTTGTTTTCATGTGGATGCTCCCATTTTTATTATGGGCGTATATTTCTGTTTACCATTCTAGGCAACTAAATTTATTTTGAACCTATTAAAACATAATGTACTTTACACGTTAAGAAAAGTTAGTTTGTTTTGCATGCAATGTTCCACACGTTTATTAATTAGGAGTATTAAATAGTGATTATTACATCCTGGCATAGATTATGTTAATGAGGTTTGCGGAAAAAACTGTCCACCAATCAGGCCAGGCCACCAGGCCAGGCCACCAGGCCAGTCCACCAGGCCAGGCTAGCCACTCCGATCCCCCCATTCATATCGATGATATGTAGCGTTTAGAATTAATTAATTTTAGTAATTATCCCATGTTGAGATAATTAATGAAATTTTAAAGTAACCCATAGAAAATAAAAGTGCCCATGGAAAATAAAAGTAACCCATAGAAAATAAAAATGTCCATAGAAAATAAAAGTACCCATAGAAAATAAAAGTAACCCATAGAAAATAAAAGCGGCATAAAAATATTAAGTGTACTTAGGGGCCACCGTAAGCAGGTGTCGTCTCACCTTTCATGCCCGTAGCCAGGATTTTGCTTGGAGGGGTAACTGTTTGAGGGACCAGCAAATGCTGTAGGTGTGAGCAGAGTTTAACAGGGGGGTCAGGGGGGCATCCTTGGACCAGAAAAGTTTGAAAATCGAACCCCCTGAAATGGCATTTACTGCATTTTGGAGAGGATTTCAAAGGAAAAATAAGAGACACTTACTACACAAGTGAGCAGTTTTTTAGGATTCCTGTCCAGCTGGTGATACAAACCAGTCCACTTTAAAAAAAAAAAATTGGATCTTTAGATAAAAAGTGAACCTTTGTTTTGGGCTTGTGTATTTAGGTTCTTCCTTAGTAGCCTCCGTAGCAGGCTTATACTATAGAACTGGGGGTTTGGTGGTCTTCGGCTGTTTTCTGATTAGCCCAGTTCTAAAAAACGGGGGTAATTCAACCAGGCCGGCTATGTTGTCTATATGCAATCAGAAAATAGCACATAAAAGGTCCTAAAGACCCTGAAAAAACCCCAAACCCCCAGTTTTTTGGCATGCTATGGAGGCTATAGGTTCTTCTGAACCTTCTAAACCCAACCTGGCTACGAGCATGCCTTTCCCTCAGTCATAAACAACTGCCGTCAGAACTTCTATAGACCCTGTCCCTTTGTCTCCCACATACTCAGATTGCACTCTGTAGTAGTAGAATGGTTTATTTCAAATTGAAAACTCCAGACATACACAATTTCAATTACCACCACATTGACAACAGACTCGCAGGCAGCCATACAGGCTGCCTGAATTGCTCTGAGGTCACAAAATATCATTAAAATATGGGTATTATTGTTTTAAAATCATTACATATTATTAAATATTGTTAAAATTTATAAATCGTAAAATATTCCTCTGCTTTAGAAAATGGATTGATAGTCAACATACATGTTTAAAACGTTACGCAGTTAAAAAGGTTCGGTGAGAGGCTGTTGTACAACATTAGCAACAGATTACTCTTACATTGCCGTTTCAGAGTTATTCAGTAACTTAACCTCTGCATGCAAATCATCCCTCTCACTTGTCAACACTCCCGCCATTGTTTACATAAAGGTGTACCTGTCGCCATGGAGACCATACCTGTCCTCAGGTGTAAGCGAGATTGGGACAGGCCCATTCACCACCCTAAATCCGTCCACTGTAAACATAGATTTAACCCGGCTCGACATACTAATTATGGGTTCGAAAACAGGGCATAGTTTGCTTGGAAAAGGCACACGGGAAGGTTAGGAGGTGTTTAGGTTAGTTTTGGACGCACAAGGCGTGAAGAAAAAGTTAAGTTTTGACAGGACTTCGCTCCCCACGAAACCCGATCAGTCACTTGAGTTGGCCTAATTTGCATAACGTCAGAGAGTGTGTGTCAGAGTTAGGGCTGTGAGGCTGTGAGTACAGTCGGCACAGCAAAGGAGAGAAACTTTACATTTCCGTGACGAAAAAAAGACCATCGGATTTACCAAAAGAGCGGGATTCTTACTTCTGTTATTCCAGGAGGATAGAACGGAGGGGGGGAAATGGCAGATACCGAGGAAACCGGCGCTGCGGAAAACGGGGGACCGGGCGAGAAGGAAGCGACAAAAACACCCTCCCCAAAACCAGACACAGAAGTCGCTCCCCCCATTGTCAGCTTAAAAGGTACGGAAAAAACTTTAATTCTCTTCAAATTCTAAACCTGTTTGTTTCCCCACAGAATTTAAATCTTTCACTAGTTTATTTTTCTTGTATGATTTAAACTGTTTCTTCATGTTAAATGTTTACAAATCTAAATAATAGTCATGAGAAACTAAAATATCAGCATAAAACTAATGTCAGCAAATGTAGGAGAAGCTGTTAGTACTAATTCTCTTAGAATTCTAACACCTGTTTTCTTCAAAACAGAATTTACCAGTAAATCTTTAGTGTGTAATGTGTAGGCTATTCTCACTAGTTTGTTTTTCTTGTATGGTTTAAACTGTTTACATATATTAATGTAAAAGGTATGAGAAACTACTGTTAAATGCAATTCTCTTTTAACACCTGTTTCTTTTACCGTAGACCTTGGCAATGTGTTGTGAATTAAAAGCTTTGATGTGTTGTAGCTACTCACAAGTCTGTTTTTCTTGTCTGGTTTAAACTGTTTACATATGTCACAGATGAGCCGAGTCACAGAGTCCGAACTTTAACTGTTTAATCAACTTCCTATCCTAAGACAGACACCACCAGGACCTCCCTCTCTAGATCTCCACTCCGGACTGACCTAGCCTTCACATTCTTGGGCCAAACTGGTACAAACGATTGGATTCCATCACATTTGCTCCCGTTTCTTCTGATTGAAACACTCCTTTCAATCACCATTCTAAACTCTAGGTCCCCCAATCCCTCCATTTCTTTTCCTTTCAGCAACGGCTACTGACTTGTTTTGGCACTACCGTGCTCCCACCAGTTTACTGACTTGAATCGGCCCGTCTGGCCTGCCGGGGTCTGTCTGGAATGTGACTGAGGAGTCCCATACAATGGATGCACACAGATAACGTTGGGCACATGTGGTTTCACTTAAGACTGCATACACTCCCGGCCCCTTGTTTACACAATTTAACTTCTCTGGAATGACACCCACTTCAAACATCCATATAAACAGTCCGTCCAACTCACGGTTGACTCTTCCCTGACTTCTCTTCCCGTGGTAACACACAGCACAGGTTCAGATTCTTCCGGGTCTGTCCTTGTATAGCTCTATTATGGTTCAGTGTCAGGATCTTCGAGTGTCAGGTCAGGTTTTCCGGACGGTTGCAGGCAGGGTCTCCACTTACTGGTGGTTACTTCGGTAGATTACGATCCCACTTCTGACACCACGTGTCACAGATGAGCCGAGTCACAGAGTCCGAACTTTAACTGTTTAATCAACTTCCTATCCTAAGACAGACACCACCGGGACCTCCCTCTCTAGATCTCCACTCCGGACTGACCTAGCCTTCACATTCTTGGGCCAAACTGGTACGATTGGATTCCATCACAACATACCTGTGTAAACAGTACAATATGGATGTGTTGTTGTAGCACCCTGTGGACCATAATAGCAATGTTCACAGTAAACTTTAGTAAAACTATTATATAATAGTTACTGTACCTCTTAGTTACTCTCCAAGCAGAGCTTGTGGCGGAATGATCGTTACCTTTTTATATATGGCCGTTTTTTTTGTCCTGACCCCCACCCGTCGGTGGTCAGCGACCTTCTCTGGCTAATGGATACTGCCTCGCCAATTTGATACTGTCATTTTGCCACCGAAAGGGATCTGCTTGGAGATTACCTCTTAGTATATGTCTTACTAACTGTTAGTATATCAGTTACCAATTATCTTTTCCAGAGTGTTTTATTTCTAATATCATGGTAACTAGTGTTGAGATAAGATGTTTGCTGGGACTTTTGAACTTTTATCACTCTATGTTTAGTTACCATCGTCTATCCCAATGCAAGGCAAGTCTCTCTTTCTTTGATATTTTTGTTTCAAACGTTAACAAGACTGTCAAATTCAGTCAGCCTCTTTCGGTAAACGTTTCACAACTTTACAGCAAGAGTTTATTGCTCCATAAATTACAAAAACATTGAAACGCGGGAAAGGAAAACACGGGAGTGCTAAACGACCCCACGTCGTGTTTACCCAAGTCAATACCAGAGTGATAAATTAGGCAACAGTCAAACATAGCCTGCGTAAACAAGCCCCTTGCTGTAAAACGTTCTAGTGTCCAACTTGTGCCAAGCCTGACAATTCCTACACGTAGCTCTGCCACAAATTAGACATGTCAGTTTACTTTTTTTCTTGTGTAAGAAACGTTTCGGAACGGACGTGATTTAGACTCAATAATGTCCATTGTGGTGATAACATTTGCCTCGGTAAAGTCTATAGCAAACACAACATTTTTCCACCTCTGACACGCCGGTATGGTTGTCCCAGTGTTAGGCTGTGTTGTGGGCAGTATTTGGGACGTGTTAGCGGGTGTTCGTGCCAGCTTTATACACGTCTCTTTCCTAAGCCGGCGGTTTGCAAACCCACAAAGAAGCCCACTGCAGAGCCACGTACTGACTTAGGTCTTGAGGATTTTTGTTTGTTGCCTTTGCTTTTAAGTTTGAGATAATTTAAAACTCTGATTGCTTTACTTTGATTATAATACCAAAACCCAAACCTGGATTTGCCACATCTCAGAAGTTAACTCGAGTGCATGTTAGTCCCTATAGATTTAACTTGTATCTAACAGAGCACCTGGTTGCAGGTGTACAAAAAGTGTGCCAGAAAAAGAGTTAAAACCAGTTTCTCAAAAAATATTGTCCATATAAAAGTGTTTAAGCCTTTTAAGGTACAGAAACGTTTAAAAAAGTTAGAAAAATCAGTTGAAGAAGTTCAGATTGGGAATGCCACCGAAGGTTTATGAAGAGATTTCCCGTTTCCTTATAGGTGCTTTGAGACTGAAAGGCCAAACCTTGTGTACATTGTTTATAGCAGACTTTCTTTTCACAGCAAGAGAAAAGATTTCTGGCCTACTTTTAACCCAATATACTTGTTTTCCACATCAGACCCTCCAGACCTTCATTCAATTTTTTATAATGGCCAAGCAGTTGTGGTACATTGCCATCAGGAGTGTGAAAAAGAAAAAAGTAGCTTAGTCTTTGAAAAAAGTCACTCAGGCCTAACTAAATACCAAACAGTTCTAGATGTTAATTACAGTAACTGCAAATGATAAAAAAAGTTTAATTTAGACATATTAGAACAATACCATAACAACCAGAATTTTCATTTTTGTCATGATATTTGGTAGTAATTTTCATTGAAATGCAACAGGTGGGAAACTCCACCCAACCAGTTAGCCCCCTTCCATAGTCACAGACAATTACGTGCAATTATACAAGTAATTGCCTTTAATTGTTAAAGGAAAAGAATTGCTTAGTACCAATGGAGGTTCGATGCACGCTGTAGCACTCAGAGATTTCAGAAAATTTCTTGTCTTGTTGACTCTGAAAATGTTTGGAAGAACACCTGTTTCTGGATCAAATAGTCCTTTTATGGAAGCTTGTTTTGAAACTTGCCAAATCGGTCCTCAAACATTGTCTCAAGCCTACTTGAGCCTGCCTATTACTGTAAGCTTTAGATGTCCCTATTCTCTTATGGTTTTGGTTCACTGCGCAGAAAATACTATACAAACATTTCTTAGAGAAGGTAAATCCTTGGGAGGTAAATCCTGTTTCCTTGTTGCCTTCGACTGAAGGCTATGCCTTCGGAGAAGGCTATGAAATCGATTTTGCACTGTTTGGCAGATTAGGCACGATAACTCTTGAACGCAAGTTCCGAGGTTCACGATTTTTGGCTGGCAGGTTGATTTGGGGTGGCCATTGTCAAGGCTAAAAATGGGCGTCGTGGGGGGTTCCTGTAGTTGACCTTGGTTTTTGGTGTTTTTCCTTGTGTACAAGATATCTCGAGTATCCTTAAATGGATGTTCATGATTTTTATTGGGCAAGTTACCGTTGAGAATGCCGAGGTCAAGTTCAAAGATGGGCCCCTAGGGGGTTTCTATGTCACTTCAGTTGACCTTTGTTTTTTGTGTTTTTTCTTGTGACCAAGATAACTCGAGAATCTTTAAATGGATGTTCATGTATTTTAGTTGGCAAGTTACCATTGAAAATACCAAGGTCAAGTTCGGATATGGGCTTTGTGGGGGGTCCCCACGTCATTGAATTAGAAAGTACTGCAGCGAAACATCTGGTTTTTAAATCTTGTGATATGGACGTGGTAGGGTCATGATTTTTTGATGGTGGATAGCTCTCGTGCTCAGAAAGAAGTTCCATAAGTTTGGGCCCAGTAGCAGCTTATTTGAGAAATGCAGAGGCATTTGTTTGAAAATGTTTGAAGTAGGATAGCTCAAGAACCGGTTGACGGATTGTTGTTATTTTTGGTATCTCGGTAGCTTAAGTGATGCTTGACCTAATTAGATGACAATTATGCAAATCAAATCTAATTTACATAATTAATGACAAAAGTCTATAAATCTGCTGCGTTCCATGATAGAACAATTGAAATGGTGGCATATTTAATTAAGAGGAAGAGGAACATTGACAGATATTAATTATGTAAATTGTGACCCAATTTGATTAATTAATAAGGGAAATCTATATGTCTTTCATACTGCACTATACCTTTTTGGTTTCCACCCTCTGTGGATTACATTGCTTTATGCCCACAAGGATAGCTGGAAAAAACTTTTCTGTTTGTTGAAACAACAGAATCCTTGCGAAATTGGCGAAATTGGCGCTTAATGCTGCATTAATACTGAAAGTTTTAATACTGGGTTAATGCTGGGTTAACGACTCGGCCAGCCTTCAAACACACATAGATACATCATTCATAATGTACAATGTAGAAAAGGCAATCTTTCTTTTTATTAATATTTGTTACATGTACTGGAGCAACTGCATAACTCTTGTAAAATTTGTGAACCCTGACACAAGACTGCACAAATGTACATGCTAATGTTGTAGGGAATACAGGAAACCTATTCATATCTAGGTTAAAACAACAAGTTACAGACAGGAAGCTGTCAACATTGGAATTGTTGAAAAAACATTAGTGGCCCAGTGCCCCAACAGAGCGTGCTTTATTTGACAGGTCTGTGGCCCCCAGTGTGAACATCTGGAATTAGCCTGGTTGCCAGACCCATAGCACACTGGACACAAAGTATCTCAGTTTGGCACCCAGGCAAATCTGGAATATGCATAATGTAAATAGGTTTCCCGTAATACCTACAACATTAGCATGTACGTTTGTGCAGTCTTGTGTAGTACATTTGTGCATATCGTATCGTAATGCAACAGGAGTTAAAGATTTAAACCCGATATAAGGGCACAAACTTTGTTTTAATCGAGAACATAGTTGGTATACTGTACACAATGGCCAGGTCACTAGAAGGAAGTGGTCTGAACGCATTCAACAGTATCTAATCTTTATAAGCTTTGTGGCTTTAGCGAGGAGCACGGCGGTATTCTATGAATGACTTTGAGTTTGATGCCTGTAATCTTCTTCATAATGGGTCGTGTGGAGAGGGAATAGAGAAGCCCTGCCATTGAAAAGATAGATTTTCACGACCATATTATGGTCCGGTGGGCCTCCACAAGAAAACTAACATAGCCAAACTGCGTAGCCAACCTGAGAAATAACCAGTAAATAACTACCAGCTCAAAAATTGAAGATTGTTAAATTGCAACTAGGATACATATTTTATTTGAATTCTATCCAGGATAAATTGCATTGACAGGATAGACTGGGACGGTTAGGTAGGTCACCGGAGGCTGACCTCAGCCCTGCCAGTCGTACCTCTGGGAACGTCCACGGAGGACCTGGGCTAATCTATACCGCTATCCGGGCTGGTATAGAAAGTCGGGCTGTCTTTCCTGCTAAAAGTTTGATACGACGGTCCCTCTAACAAGTAAGGCATATATGATAAATGAGTTTGTCCTTGTGGAGGAAGATTAACTTTCTACCAGGCACCATGGATCGCTGGAAAAATAGTAGAAAACGGCGAAAATAAAGGGAATAGTATGCCGCTAAAGGGTCAGATAGCCCGCTAGAGAGATACAACTCACCGGGAGGAACCCATTTATCTTACATACCACATACCATCACAACAATTGGCCAGTTTGAGTGATTTTGTAAGTTAAACTTGCAATTGTTTTCAATGTATTGGACATCGCACGTTTCAACAACACTGGCTGTATAGAAGAATAATTTAGTTGAAGGAGTTTTTGCCGTTTTGAAGTTTGGATCACCGCGTATCGGAGGGAAGAAAACAACTTTTCGCGGCCAGACTCCCCAGGCCAATTCTCCTCTCCTTTGTGCCGAATTCTACGATCCTTATTTCCGTAGAAAGACATGGTACAGGCTTGGTAAATAGTCTGTTGCTTCGTTCACTACGATAATCATCTTCAAAAAAACCTACACTATACACACACACAACACCCACCAAAACAATATCACACTGTCGAAGGCATGAGACCTCCGAACTCTAGTTTCCTAAATAAAGAGGGGAAAAGATGTCCCTTTTTTTTTGTCATGAGAATGATGGCTCAAAAAGTGGTAAGTAAAAATGTCAAGAGAATTTGCTGAAGTTTTGTGTATGAGATTCTGTGAAGAAAGAACAGTAAGCAAGACTAAAAAATGAACAACAAGAAGAAATGTGATATAATTCCTTCCAATACAGAGAGATAGAGGGGATTTAATGGGTTTCTCATGGATCAAATGTACAATAGCAGGGCTTGACACAGTTTATTTGCATACCTGCACTTAGGTGCAGGCCACATGCAAATGTTAATTTTTCTATACATGTAATTTGTTAATGGATATTTAATGTAAAAAAAAACTGGCACCTAAACGTGTTTCACCTAAACGTGGTCAAAGAAATAAAGATACAAACCATAATGTAATTCATTTTCCAGGTTATGGCAAAGATGATAAGAAAGAAGACCAGCAGGGTGACAAACCGGCGAGGAAGACACAGGTCCACCAGCGTAGAGGAGCCTCCATGGGCAGACCTGCACCTTCTCCTGTAAGTACACCTGCATGGGCACTGCAATAAATTTACTGTTACTGTAACAGTAACAGTCAGTTTTTCTCATTCTGGGATTACAAAATACCCAGTAGTAACATGCATTTAACAGTAATTTGTTTCACTAACAATAATCTCTTACCCCATGTATATTATTATTAACCAGCCATTGTTTCAGATACATTTATGCGCTTCATTATCTTTATTACTTTCTATTTTACTTATTTTTCTATTAAAGCGTTATATGAATGCTTTTTTTTTGCAGGCCAGAAGTACAAAATGGCAGTTTCAGTGCAGATAGATTATGCTTTTAATTTTAACGAGAACCTTTATGTTTAATTTGTTTTGCGTATATTTTGGTTTCTTTACGTTTGGTTCATTTTGTTTCACCCAGGCAAGCATTAGGTTCGTTTTGTTGCACTACAGCCTCTGTTTTTAATTTTAAAATATACATAATTATTTAACTTAATACATACAATGTGGCATTATCATTATATAGTAATATTTCCTTAAGAAGCTAACAGTACTGAATATAACCTTTTTTTCCTTTTTTATCATTTGCTACAATAACCATCCAAGAAGCCATAGTTGCCTTAGACTACACATGTAAGACATAACAGAATCCTAACAGTTCTAAAATTGCATGCACAGTATCGATCAAAGTTTCTGGTTCATAAACTTTGATGATAATTTATTTTTTTTTCCTTAGGAATTGGTGTGCAATAATTGACTAAATACAACATACTAGTACTTAATACATATACCATAATAGATAATGCATGTACAGCACATTAAGTGCCTTAACAACTGAAATTTTTTAATCAAATGAATCTTAACTTATCTTACTATAATGCCAGCTCTCATTCCGATAGGTACCATAAGACAATTGTATGCTGGTTAGAATCTAGATGCATAATTGCTGCTTGCAAGATAATGCATGGCTTCACTTTTCAGTCTACTGGCTTTGTGGTAGTTTTCCTTTTCAGTTAAATGTGCATGGTAATGAAAAAGTTATTTGCTGCTTAGAGCATACATGTAATGCATGGCAACCCCTCCAGTGCTTAACCTGGGAACCTACACCTAGAGCATATTGGCAATGCTTGGCTTTACAGGATTCAGTCTAACCTACCTGCAAATTCCTGTGACAAGTGTTGTATTTCCATGATGTTAAACCCCTTCCTTTCCCTGATGCCGTGTCTGTACATGAAGGGCGAGGGCCATGCACGGGTGTCCAGAGCTAAGAAAAGGTGTCAGGTAAGCTCAGCGGGAAAGTCACTGCTCTGATGGTAACAAACACGTCTCATCATTTCTTAACATCCGATTCACAACATTTATTAAACTAATCCCTTACAGATTTGTGTCTTTAATCCTTGTTTTATCCACAGGGATTTAGGTGAGTATTGACTACATTGAAGAGGGTGATTGGTGTGATTTTATTTCGTACAAGTTGAAAAAAGCTGAGGGTGTAATAGATTAAGACTAAGAGGATTTGTGAAGAGTTGACAATGAGATTAGAATAATATAATTCCTTTTATGTTATTCTTCTCTATTGTTAACTATTTACATTATGTTATGTTTATTGCCTTTAGATTTGTGCATACTTCACAAAACATAAGGAGTAGATCATAACACATATTGTGCCAGATGGTTCAAGAACAAAACAACTGCAGAATGTATTATAATTGCCTTGAAACTTTAAGAAAACCAGTGCATTCTTCTGGATTCAATCAAATATTTGGTAAAACTTCCAATTGCAAAATGTTTTTGGCACTCTGGCACCAAATAAAACCCTCTTAGAGAGTGTGATCAGTAAAACCATTTGCGGCCCTATGTACACATCACTTCAGACGACACGATTGGTGAGCAATTTCTACCTGCGCAATAGGTGGTCACCTGACTCCCTTTTACGCCCACAATACCACCTGCCGCCCCCCACCACTTACAGGTGCTCCGGGGGACACCATAACCTCTTTAAGAAAAGAAACAGTATCCTGGCCTTAGAAACACGACACCAGACTTAGCCGCAGGACACCATAAGGTGTTTATTTACTTTGGACCACTACCGTTGAGCCATGGCGGAAGGATATGGGCTGGAGCTAGTGTGAAGAGGCAAGGGGAAAAACAAGTCTGACTTTTGATTGCCTGAATGGTATTTTTAGTCCAGCCTGAAGGTGACAGAAACAAATGGTTTGAAGATAGTCAGGGCTTCTTTTACCCAGCTCACTGGCCTATAATCCATTTTGTCCACAGTTTGTTGACTTGTTTCTACAAAGTTTTAGTTCTAGAGGGGTCAGAGAACCCTGGACATGAAATGTATCATGTTGTCTGTATTGAGAATTGGAGCAAAAAGAAGGGAAAATTTTAAAAGAATTGATTATGGTATAACACTAAATTCAACTTTCAAGCCCCCTTTCTTTCCTTTTTTTTTGCAATAATATATACTCAGTGCAATAAAATTTTGTAAACAAAACACCCCATGCATGCAGAATGTTCCTTTAGAAATGGAATAACTGATAATGAAAATGATTAATAGAAAGTTTTAGAAATGACTGCGAGCGATATGAAAACAAAAGACAGTTTCATATCACCCTTTCCTGATTAATTATTAAAGCCACATCGACTGTAAGCTACACTAGGATCAACATATTGCTACAGCTTAGTCTTTAGAACAGTGTTCTTTTTTTATTGTAGCAAAATTGTAGCCTTCACTTTAGGATGACCAAATTACAGTCCAGCTGCCCAGCCCCCAGAGCCTCTAACTTTTCAAATGAAGAGGATATCACCTAATACCAGACATGAAAAGACCAGCAGCTAAATGCCACTCACTCAATCTGAAGGGTGCATCAATAATTTATTAGTTTGGTCTGTGTCTAGGGGCTACCGGCTTGCCAGCATAGCTAATGGCTCAGTCAACACACGGATTACACTTTAGATTTGGTCTCTTTAAGCTGATTTTACTGTACTGTAGTATTATGGATTGGTAAAAGACCACAGTGACTGAGGACTTAACCTTCTACCTGCTGCCTAAATCTGTAGCTGATAGAGTATCGGTAGGCTACCTCGGTGTGCTAGAGGTTAAGATGAGTGGAAGGCGAGATTACAGGAATTTAGAGTTCGAAGAACTGGATAGCAGTCCAGAACCGGACGAAAAGGAACAACACCGGCTAGGACAAGAAAATGGAGATGACGATGCCTTATTGGGGTCTGCACGGTCAGAAGAAGATTCCAAACTCGCCCCTGCAGGAAGCGTCCAGACGCTGGATTCCGGGTACGGAAGTCTGGCGTCGTTCAGCGTGGGAGGGTCCACCCTAGGAAGCAGGGAGAGCTTGGCGGACAACCCGCCGTCTGCGAGACGTGATCATGACGAGGCACAGGACGAGAGAAGGAACATCCTCACACCTGTACAAGAAGCTGTTCAAGACAGTGAAGAAGAAGGTGAGGAGGAGGAGAAAGCAGATTTGACACCTGAAGATTCTCCTTCAACCAAACTTGAACCTGAAGACAATGCAAGCAAAACTCAAGATCAGACTGCAGACAAGGAGACCTACGTCGATCAAAACGGCATCGAACGTACCGGCGAGCACTGGAAGTTGCTAGAAGCTGCCAGGCGTGATCTCGAAGATTACGACGAGTTTTCGAAGAAGTATGACAGCTACGAGAAGAGACAGCGTTTGAACACGGCCGCGAGTACAAGAGGAGAGGAGAACACGAAGCAGGATGATCTGTCGTGAATGGTGTTGGTGTACGCCTGCTACTACTGCGGGGAGCCGTTTGATGTTCAGGGGGAGAGAAGGAGACACGTGGCCGTCAGACATCCTCTTGGGGACAGGAAAGACTCCACTCTACAGTGGAGAGGTAGGGATAGTCTGCAGCAGAGTAACAATGCGGGCTGAAAAATTTATAGCAAAATTTGCCCTGGAAATATGGGGAATAATTTGACCTTTGGCCACCGTAAACTTCATTTTGCAGTTAGGGAAAAGGTTACCCTTACCACTGCTTACCCCACTGGTCAATTACTTGCTCTATTTTTGCCATCATTTCTTCTGTATTATGTGATACATGAACATACTTCTTCCGTTTGACAAATTTTGCTCCTGGCATTCTTGAAATTGAGAAGTTCGTGAAGAATTATGGCCTTCTTAAAAAGACATTTTATAAAATATGATTCCACATTCAAATATCATGTAATGACTAAAGCATTAATAAACTTACACTAAGGCTTTAAGATACTTTGCTGATAACTCTTAATTTTGTTCCCTGCTGTACAATGTAGCCATCGATGCAGCAAGATGGGTGAGTACGAAATTGAATGATTGACACATGTCACATACAATCAAATTAAGCAGGCCCTGTCCCTGACACAATTCCTACAGCAACTGCACATAACAAGTGACTGTTTAGAAATAACCTCCTAATAAGGAAAGCATAGTTTTTAAATCACTGCTTTATTCGGTTACATTTCCTTTTGTCTGGTGAGTGATCCTTGGCACCAAAGGTCAATGCCCACAGGCACGTAGGGCTGTGATTGTGTTGTCATGGCAACAGTATCAACAATATGGGGCCGGTCGTGCAGGTCTCAATTGTGAAGCCTTAGGGCGAAAGATAATTGTGTGTGTGGTAGGACTGGGTATCTAATACCTCTACCTGACAGGTATACATTACATAACTGTCTACACTGTAAAATTGTTATGACCAATGTATAGGTCCAGAGCTGCATCTGTATCTGTACTTATGCACCTGTATATTAACAAAGTAAAACACTAATGGATGCCATCATTTACACTAAATGTTCTGGGTGAATTGGATGCCATCTTTTACACTAAAGATACTAGGTAAATTGCATCTCAAATTTTGACAAATTAGCCCTCGGAAAATAGGTCAAGGCATTGTATGGAAAATAAAGAAAGGGGCTAAATTAATCCAATTTTGGGTCTGGAAACTTTAGTGTAATTCCATGGCACAGTTGATTTGTAGGGTTTTCTTCTGTGTCATTTGGGGTGCTTGTTGATTTTCCACACCCTTTTCGTACCTTGTATCAATTTTCTACATGTGCTTTATTCGTTCTGAAGTTGAATCAATAATGTTGTAATAATGTAAACTCAGCAACATAGGATTTCTAATAAAGACTGTTTAGATGTGATGTCATATTAAGAACTATTGTCACTCACCCAATGACATTCCTCTGAAAAGCTACAAGGGTATTAGATGCAACGCATGTCTAGTTCAAGTGGAAAGTTTAAGCTTTAACCTCACATAAAATGTTCATAATGTCTACATAAGCTGTGCTTGGAGTCATAGTCTGCCAATAACCTGGTTTTAGTTGAGAGGTACGTGCTAGACACAATGTACGTGTGTGTAGCCCTGTTTGACTTGAAAATACACAGGATTATGCTGCTAAATCAAACTGTTTGCTGTTTGTCAAATGTGTTAAAGGCTTCAAAGGTGAGGACTTTGTCCTTAGGGCTAGTCTTTTTGTTTGTTCAACCTCCCCTTGGCTGAACATGTTTGTTTGGTGGCAGTGGATTTTGCTAATTGTAACCTACTGCCGCAGATAAACAGTAACTGTGTATATTGTATGTGAGACTTTGAACTCGATGCCCTTGACTTTTCAAACTTGTGACCAGTATTCATTCAATTCAATGCTGCATGATAAACAGTAGACATGTTAGCCTGGTGTCCAAACTTATTTTAGCTGTCAGTGAGTGTCATATCATGTCCCGTATGCAAATACACTCGGCAGCTAAAAATAGCTTTGGACATCAGGCTATGTTTGTGTTGACAAAATTAATGTTTTGTACATAATTTTTTTGAAGTGTTTCATGAACAGCCATCTTTTCATCATCATCACCGACACTAACAACATCATTATCATCATTAACATTATAATTTATTTTCCTTTAAATATATTATCATGATTACTTTTTACATGTGCATTGATAGCATTATAGATAGCCATAAGAATTCTTAATACACATATTTAGCTATTAAAAATCTAGATAATTGTCAATAATTATATTTTGCAAACACAATGCTGCAAATGCTCCTCCCCAGGCCCAGAAGAAGACAGTGGTTCTGTCAGGAGAGGCGATGAAGGATCTGGCCAAACAGGCCAAGGCAACAAAGGATGAGAGGAGACTACAGGTAAGGACATGTATCTGTATGAAATTAACAGATACATTGTTTAAGACAGTATATAGAGCTGTTGTTTACTTTCTTGAGACAAATGAGATTTTGTCATACTTGACTGATAACGATAACACTGAGAGTGACAATTGTCACAATCACGGTTGCCGCAGTTTTTAGGTGTGAATGTGGACATATTGTAACAATTGTAGAATGTGACTGACAATACTCCATGACTGCATTCTAGCTGCATTTTGAATCAGAAGCAGTCACAGACGGTCACCAGAAAATGGCTTGTAAAATTCATGGTTGTAAATTAAGGACTTTTTTATATGGGATTAAGAGAAAATTGAGTTAAATGTGAAATTTCCTTTTTTCCCGTGCAGCTGGATGCCAGACACCAGTACATCTTCACTTCAGCTATGTTGGTGCTGATGGTGGCCGTGTCTGTGGCCCTGCCGTCGCTGCTAGTGTCGGGTCAGACAACACCAGTTGCAGGTGAGAAAACCGATTTATTAGGGTTGTTTCTTTGAACACACGGTAGCAAACTGGTCATAAAAACTAACACGACAGATAGGAGCGCATGTTATTCTGGTTCTACGATGTCGGTCCTGCTTATTGAAGTGTGCGGAGCCCTGCCGTCGGTGTAAGAATAACATTGTCGTGGATACTTTTCATAGGATTTGTCACGAGTTCCATCCTCTTTTCGTCATTTACCCTGCGATTGTGATTATAGTCATTTTCTGTGTAGTTTAGCATTGCGACACTCTATGTAATATATGCATCACCTTGTCCATTGCATAAATACTTTTACGAAAACTAGATGGTTCTGATAACATTTTATCTGTTGGAAATGGAAGATAAGCTCTGAATATTTAAGTCGTTGGTACGCCCGTCGCATCTGTACAGTGTATTTAGCTATCCTAACATTTGTATCACCTTTGTCGTGTAGACTGGCGGCCCTGTGGCGACTTCCCGTGGGACACCGATGACGTCACCGTGAGCTGTGACTACACCTACACTGACGTGAAAAGGCCGTGGTCTGGGAACCCCCTAGTTCTACAGGGCCGCTGTACCGTGACCTGCCCGCCAGAAGCCGACATGTTGGTGGGGCCAGTCTCCAACCCTTATGGGGACGCATACGGTTTGAAAGACGGAGCTTACTACTGCAACGTGGGCAACAGCACATGGATGGGGTCAGAACCCGTGTGTCTGGGTAAGGCTTTCACAGTGCATACATTTGTGACTTTTTGTCTCCACAGCATTACATTTATTTTAATTTTATGAGTCATAAATGTATTCCATGATGACTTCTAATTAAGGCAATTAAGTTTATATTAATTGAAGTCAGTTCATAACTAGATTCCTACAACTTCAGTATTCTGTTCAACGTCGCGTCGGCTGCAGCATTGTATGAAACATGTTTGGTATGCTAAGTGCAAAAACTTAACAAGGCGTAAACTAAAAATGACTTTGAGCATTGCGTATTGCTTTATACTGCCGCATTCAAAAGCATACATGTATATTAAGTCTTTGTTTGAATGAGCCATTGTTTATTCATTAAAAAAATTACGGGTTTTTTGGCTGCTTTTTCTTAAGGTCGTGATTGAGGAAACGTATCTTTATCTGTATAGCCGGTATAACCGCCTTTTGGCGTAACACACCAGCTTTGCAGGCGCGGCGGCAGCTGGCTATATTACACCGATCGACTTGTTACACCTAACCCTTGAACTTCTAGCTCAAGGCGTTGTTTAAAGCTATCTATTGACAATGCCCCTACTGTACTTGGTGACAGTGAGTTCCACTCTGCGATAGTTCTAGGAAAGAATGAATTCTTGAACACCTCAATCCTTGGTTGATAAGTCTGGTACTTGAATGCATGGCTATTTCTTGTTCTCTTCTGGGCTGGTATTAGGTACTTAGTAGTTGGGACATCCACCAGTTTATTAGTCA